TTACTGAATTGTTAAGTACTAAATTTGATACATTTGAGTGTATATTACATTAAGTGATAAATGAATAGCTTATCACTTATTTTTTGGAACAAGTTTTGCCTAGAAAATTCAGTGTCACTTAATTAATTCAGATATTCTACTTTTAGTTATCAAACGTATCTAAACATGTTAAGTTCCGAGCCTATTAAGTTTAAGTGCTGAATTAGACTATCAAACACGGCCTAAAGCATGTAGTATAATCACGTGATGCATAATTTAGCAATTACTTGCTAATTGATAAAAAATGTCCTAAAAACAAATTCTTAGAGCTCGGCCTATTGTTTTACCAAATAATCAAAGTATTAGATGCTTAATGGGGAATAACCTTCTAATGAAGTTGCCAAGTTATTTTTCAGATTCTTGTTGAGAGAGAGAATTAAAGATGTTAACCAAAATCACATTCAAATGTTGCGAAACCAAAACTTTAAATCCTGGGAAAACTAACCAGAAAAATTCTATATATTCACAAACAATCATTTGTATTGTAATTGTTGTTTGGTCAGGCATATTCATCACTTGAGGAAAGAAACAGGAACACAAACAGATCATGTTCAAGACAAGGAAAAAAAAAAACAAAGAATATAGCAAAAGAAAATAAATCAAACAGAATAAGCTGGGAAGAGGTTGATAATGAAACAAAAGACCATACTTTATGAGAAGTAGCTGTCTGTCTGATTCTGAGGAAATGAGATCATCATTAGCTTGTGTAACATACTGGTTGGATCTGTCCGTCTGTTGCGAATTGGGCATTCTCATGAGTTCCCTACGCATTCCATTTACATTTGAAGAGCTTATGCCATTAGACTCCTTCCCAGCTACTATTGCCTTCTTCATATTGCCGACCTAATTACCCAACACATAAGTCTGTTAACCTCAAGTGTCTGATAAATCCAAAGCAAATCCATCCAGTATATAAGTTATTCATTGGGTAGTATGTATTATGCCTAAACAGCAGAAGAAGATTCCTGTACAGTAACACAAGGAATAACAAGTTGCAATTATAGCAGCTATGGAACAACTTATAAACAAATACCTGACTTCGAGCATTGCCGGTCCATCTTCTTCTTTTCTCAAGCTCTGGTTCATTGATACCATACCATGAAGGATCTCTTGCTGCTACGGAAATTGTTTTATCCAATTCATCCACCTTCCTATCACAAAAACAGATCTTCAGTATTTATGAAAGATACATGTGTACCTTTATGCAACCCAAAACCTTCAGAGAAAATCTGGGGAAATAAACTGGCATTTAAAAAAAAAATCACACCATGACAAGAGGAAGTTACAAAATTTAACATTTATATAAGTTGTTGAATTCACAAAAAACCATGTAGTATAAGATGAAAGGAGTCATTAAGCATTACGAAATGCATCTTTCTGAGTTTCAAAGCAAAATCGTAACCATGCTACTTTCATGGACAATTACGAAGATATGTGATTGATTGTCATTTTAGGCACATCAAAAAAAAGAAAAGGAGAAATCCTAATTCAATGATTACAAACTGCAATGCATACCTGCCACTGAATGCTCTCACAACCAGCAAGAAGTTCCTTGGTCAGATTTAGTTGCTCTCCACTATCTGGAGCAAGACGCTCCCATTTGTGAAAGCTAGATAGCAACTTGTCAATCTGGCCAAGAAAGTAATTCACAAGTTAAATATCACATACAAGAAAATTTCAATGCATGACCACACAAACAGAACGCTCAACAAAATTTTTTTTCCAAGGGAGGTGGCTGAGACCCAAGAGCATTTGAAGATAAGACATCATCAACAATTAGTAGGACATGAAGTGATAGCTCTAATTGCAGCAAGTGAAGAATTAACTATCTTTGTGCTCCTTCAGACGTATACAAAAACCAAGTACATGTCTGTCTGCGTCTGCATGTATCCACCCAAGCAAATGTACTTATGTCAGCACAAATGACATCAAGGCATGGACAAGTGGGAAAGAGTAAGGTTTAGAAGTGTGTGTTAGAAGCAAATCAATTTTTGGTCTTGGTTCTTGAAATCCTTAAAACATCCTGTATGGGAGTATCAAAATCTTCTGTGGCAACTCTGCATCTTATTTACCTAATGTACTTCAGATCATACAAAAGGTAAAAAGTGGAAAATGCTAAAAGAGGTAGAAGTTACAGTTCGAATTCAGGAGAGAAATATCTAAAAGTTAAGAGACCCCTTGAACAAAAGGTCATGTTATTCTTCTATCCCGATTTTCAATGCCATGGAATACCTACTTATACAAATGACCTCCAAAAGGATTAAAAACAAGCACATTTTCTAACACTTTTATTGAATAAGTAGGAATTTTTCACTTTTAACCCAAGAAGCCACTTTCTCTGTCTTTTACTTCCCAGGCACTTTTAATTTTGGATATTACGACCAACATAAGTAGCTCATCATGCATACCCAGTCAAACATGCCCACGAAGCACAAACATGATCTCACAAATATGCTACTATTTTTAGATCTTTGCAGCTACGGAAAACCCTAAACAAACCCAAACCCAATTTACCCAATTTGAGCAGATTCAACAAGAAAGTTTCAATGATGACGTTCTACATTGGGGCCTCCCAAATTATCCTAGCAATAAAGCCAAATTACGATATCCAGCATCTTGGCCTGCAGTCTTCTAAAACATAATCATTCCAGATTTCAGGCAATCCCCATAGAACTTAATTAAGCAATAACCATGTCACTGTAATTAATCGTAATCATCCAAATATCTACAAAAAGAGAAGCATAAATGCCTCATTCTGCTTGATCTACATTGATAAGAGAAACATTAGAACAAAGTAATGGTAATTATCAGAATCATAAAGGAAAAACAATCATGGACTTTATAAAAAAAAAAATTGACAGCATAATTAACTAAACACTGATCCGAAAACGAAATATTAATTTCTGCAAGAAGAAATAAACTTACAGAATCTTGGATCTCTTCCTTAACAATGTAGAAAGGGTCCTGAGCTGAAGATGACATTCCTTTTCTTTTACTATTTGTACCCAAAAATTCAATCTTTACTCCGTATAAACTGTATTCAAGAAATCAACAAAAACCCATTTCAGATTTCAACTTTGAAGACCTGAATTCCTCAAAATCACACAGTAGACACCTCCCATCACACACAGTCACATACCTGGAAGTTCTATCTAATATTACTATCATTAGAAAAGTAATATTATAAATATTAAAGAGCTAACCTGAAAATTAAGGAAGAATTCTTCTTAGAAGAAATTGACAACAGACGGAAGACCAAAACTTACAGATTTGTTCCTTCACCAACAACTTGATGGGGGCCGTATATTTATTTATTTTTTCAACAAACGGATGGGGGCCGTATTCGTTATACAGCGTTTTTTAATGTGGATTATTTTATTTTATTTCCCTTCCCTTTAATCATATTTGTATCATTTTCTGATTACGGTTAAAGACTGGGCTTTATCATCCTTTCAATCAAACTAAAATGAATTGGGCTTTTATTTGTATCTGGGCCCTTGTGGTGAAAGCATAAATCGGGCTCTAACTCGTCTGCTTTTGTCCGAGTTTAGAGAGAGTAGGAAATTTTCTTGATTAGCAAATTGGAATAGTTTGAAAAATAGGCAATTTCATGCATAAAACTTTATTATCAGTGTTATCTGGCCAATTTGATTCTTGAACTCATTTTGTAATTCCAATTAAGAACCTTTGAGATGATAACACTATCTACAATTGATTTCATTCCTAATTAACTAATTAAAGAGGAGTATTATGGAAATGTCACGTACGAAATTGTAATAAAACGAATGAATCATGTAAAAAGTCACCATATAAAAATTTAAAATCCTATAAAAAAAAGATGAAATTTAAGAAAGTTTAATCATGTGATTTTTTATACAATTTACTTGATTTATTACAATCCCGTAAATAATATTCCTACAATAACCCTGTTTAGTTGGACAATTAGAAGTCAGATTGGTTTCAAGTAGGGGTGGCAATCGGGTCGGGTTCGAGTTGGCGGGTCGAGTTGAGGCTTAAGTATAACAAAGAATCTGTTGACCCGAACCCGACCCGTCAACCCGAAACGAGTCAGGGTACTTGACACGAACCCGAAAATTTCAGATTGGCGGGTTGGCGGATCGACCCGAAATGACCCGAAACTTAATTTTCATTTATTAATTTATCACTGTAATTTCTAATAAATTCAATTTTTCACAAAATTAATTACATCATCAAGTAATAAAAATTTAAATAAATAATTTCAAACCAAATCTAAAATAAATTAAACACCATAAAAGCGTTTTATCCCAAACCAAATATAAAATAAATTAAAACAGCATAAAATTAAAAAATAACATAATATATTATTTGTCCAAATATAATAATTTTAACTTCACACAAGTTAAATAAATTCATTTAGGATTAAGTAATTAATGCCTTTGGAAAAAAAGAATGATTTAGTTTAGTTAGATAAAATAATTTTTATGTTTATTAAATTAGTTTTAATTCGTAAACGGGTCACATCGGGTCATATCAGGTCATCACGGGTTGACCCGAAAATTGACCTGTTTTCTTTTCGGGTTCATCGGGTTCGACCCGATTTCGACCCGAACTCCCGAAACCTCAACCCAAACCCATTAATTTCGTATTAGATTCGTATCGTATTTTTGGGTCATGTCAGGAATTGCCACCCCTAGTTTCAAGTCGTCGTGCCACCAGAAGGTGCTTAATCAGACCACAAAATAAGTTTAGGTGTGAAAATAGCTACAAATAGAAGTTTATAACTAAATTGACCGAAATTGGTCATTTACCCTTTAAAGGTTGGCCATATTTTAATTTTCCCGCTTAAAACGTCGACGGTTTGCTGGTGCAAAAGTTGCTTGCGTGGTATCATCCCCACTGTCCACTGAGCACCGGTTCATCCTAGCCGTGAAATGGTTGGAAATGAACTTGCGAGTCCCCCTTCCCTTACCTCCAAACTAATAATCCTTCCCTTCTTCTTCTTACGATCTTCGTCGTACGTACTCCTCCGGTCCAGGCTAAACCCGTTCTCTAGCATTTTCCTCTAACATCTCAAGAAGCTTAAGTCTTCGGAAAATCCTCCTGATCCGTTTGTGTCTTTCGATTGAGACTTGATTAAACGAGATGGAAAGCCGAGGTGAGTAGCGAGAATCATGTTGTCCAGAATCCCACTGAAGAAGTGTGCCACTAGTGGCTCCGGCAGCGGCGGCTTTTCCAAATATATTTTTCAGAACAACTCCACTCTAACCTCTCCCCGAAGGTAACTCATTTTTTGTATCTCAATCTGTTGTCATTGGTTTTTTTTTTTTTTTTTGGCTGCAATTTTCTTGCTGAGGGTTGAAGTAAATTTTTCCTCTTACTTTTCATTTAGTTTGGCATATGCTTATTTATTTTCTTTTTTTGGTGAATTTTATTTGATATGTTTTGTGTGTGTGTGTGTGTTTCATGTGTTTAATTTATGATGTAGTAGTGTTGCAGTGGCTGCTTAAGATACAATGTGATGAAAAATCTAAAATTGTAGAAAGTAGTTCTTTTTTGCTCTTTTTTTCTTTTGAACAAATTTTCAAAATTCGGTTAAGCCGCTTCATTAACCATATATAATAGGTTGCAAAACTTCTCTTCCTGTATAAAAGAAGAAGCTATTATAGTGATAATCCAGCGCTTCAGCATCGTGGCTGTTGAAATCGGTTTAACTTTCATTAAGCAACTACATTCATTGGCATGAAATTCGAACTCCAATTTAACTTCAAGTAGTTTTAGCCTGGCACTACAGTGCGAGGTTTTGTGCAATGACTAGTCAAGCGAGGAGAACACAAATTGGATAGTTCAGGGAAGAAATTATGCAACATAAACAGCAAAAATAAATCTCTTTAGCAAAAATTGTATTGTATTTATTATTGCTGAATTAGGAATTACATTTGTTGATATGTTCTCTATGTCTTTCAAGTTAAGTTTCGATTAAAATTTTAACATGTTCTCGAGGTTTATAGCTGCAGAAATAGTTTTACACTTAGCTTTGTTGCTCTGAGACATATATGCTTGCCAATGCATATAAACACACCTTAAATCTATGCAATGCATATGACCCAAAGTTAAAGAAGCTTGTAGCTTTGAGGTAGTATAGCATTTGCTCATAAAGAAATGAGGATGGACAAATTTCTGTACACAGCCATGTGGCCAGGTACATATAGGCACGATAGCAACAGTATGTATACTTTGTCGGAATGTAATCAAAATTTCCCATCATCTTCCTTTGCAGGAAATTTTGGAACTCTATTCTTTGCTTTGTCTGTGTTAGCTGAATCTTCTTATTTCCTTCTACTCCAATTGTTGTCAACTCCTTGCCTTGTTTCTCTTTTCCTGAATTGGTTGAACCTGATGTCGATGTTTGTTTTTGTGCAGGGGATTGTTTCTTTGTGACTTCCTAGTCCAAAATATTTCTAGTTCTCCATGTTTTCCTGAAGCTACTTCATTTTCTCACTTTCACCGTCATTACACAAGCGCACACCAAGGAGATTGCTGGCTAGAAAAACCTTTTCCTGAATCTAAACCTTCTATGAAGAAAAGCTCATTATTAAGTAATAGATTGCTGGCTTTGCAGTCACATAATATCTCTTCAAAATCCATACAAGTTAGACACATCAGTAATCCTTCGATTGAGCTGAAGACAGATAAAGATGGTGTCAGGTTTAATTTTGGTAGTCCATCAGTCAATGGTGGGTCACAAAGAAAAGCAAAGAAGGCAGGCAAGCAGGTTAAAATGTCCAAAAAAGCAAAATTTAATGAGCTTAAGTTCTACAGGTTGAAGGCAAAAAAGAAAATGAATTCTCCAAACCCAGAAGTTAGGATAAGATATAAACTTGAAAAGGTTGGTGAGATTTTGATTTATACTTCTCTATGCCGTGCCTGTCTTTGCAATTGTTTTACCATTCTTTTAGGGCTATTTCAGTCAAACCTGTTCTTTTCTTTTCACAATTGTTGCCTTTCCATTTTAATCTTTATTGCGTTCAAAGGAGTGGGGATACATACAGAGATGTTGCCAATTATATGTATCAATGGTACCAGGAAAAAGATCTTACATTATTTATTTTCTCAAATTGTTCACCAAGTTTTTGTGGTTTTCTTCTTCTTCTTCTTTTTTCCCCCCTTTAACTTCTCGTTGATAGAATTTTAACATTTTAAACATGATAAAGGCTTAAGTACGTGGTGCACAAAGTTAGCAAACAAAGTCTCACTTAGTATTGTGTTTTTTGAAAATGAAAAGGAAAAGAAAATCTCCATGATAAATGGATTGTAGGCATTGATTGTGCCATTGAAGCTTCTTGATCAACTAAATGAGCAGAATTATGGACTCAAATGGTTAAATAGCCAATTCCATCTTTTGGTTTGTAATGTCTTAGTTCTTTTTTTCCCCTTTTTTATTAAGTAAACCTAGGCTAAACCCTCACCTCTACCCTGACACATGCACATGAAAAATATCCTTTGGGAGTGCACTGGGTGGAGGATTTTATTTATTTGGTGGGGGGATTTTTATATGGTTTGGTACTTATGGTAAGTTTCATTGAAATACTCCAGGCGAAAAGAAAGGAAGCTTGGCTGATTGAGAAATTGAGGAAATATGAGGTATCTAAAGTTCCTGTGGAAACATATGATCCTGAAATTTTAACTGAAGAAGAGAGGTTTTACCTGAAGCGTACTGGTGAGAAAAAGAAAAACTATGTTCCAGTTGGGAGACGAGGTGTATTTGGAGGTGTTGTTCTTAATATGCATCTCCATTGGAAGAAGCACGAGACGGTTAAGGTCATTTGCAAACCTTGCAAGCCTGGACAGGTTCATGAATATGCTGCAGAGCTAGCTCGATTAAGTAAGGGAACTGTTATTGACATTAAACCTAACAACATTATAATCTTCTATCGTGGGAAGAATTATGTTCAACCAGTTGTTATGTCACCTCCAGATACACTCTCTAAAGCTAAGGTAATCCCTACTTCTTTAATCTACATCTGATAATTTTTTAAAAAATTTTTGGAAATCAAGGGAACACAGAGGGTTACTCTTCCCCTTTTCTTTTTCTTCTTACATGTTCCTTCCTTTTTCTTCAACCTCTAAATTATCTTCTTCCATTTCCTATCTACTTCTCCAAAGTTTTTTTTCTGCCTTGCCCAAAATTTTTTGCCTTGTTATTCATCCATTCCTTGCTCTCCTTTCTTCTCTCTTCTTTCCCCATTCCAATTGCTTTCTACCATTTTCTTTGGGGGGACTGGGTCTGAGGATAGAAGAATGCAAGGAAATTGTATATGTTACTTATAACATTTTCTTAGGACTGGGTTCAGGAGAGTGTAATTATGAAAATAGGGGCCTAACTTGAAGTCTTGAATGCTGAATTGAAGAATCAAGCTAATTGGTTCCTCTAGTTGTGTCCTCATGCAGCCTACTTTTAGGTTGAAGGATTTTTTGGAGCATCAATCTAATTGGGTTCCGCTGATTGTGTTTCTCATAGTGCTTACCTGTCCTTCAGTTGGTGATCATTTGGTTTTTGCTCAAACCCTAGTACATCAGTTGCCACCTCCTACTCTCTTAGGAACTTAAGTTTAGGATGTTTCTTGACATGTATTGATTTTAACATGGTGACTCGTGGAAGATTAGACAGAACGGGATCCACATTGGTACCCCATTGGAGCTTTTTGCAAATTAAATTTGGGGTTTACCTAAGAACAAGCATGGAAATATTCTTTGCAACTTGCTTCTGTTTTGATATATTGTGTTGCATGAGATGAGTGGAGTAGTAGAATGTTGAACATGTTACTTGGTACTTACAACAGTGCCTATAATTATAATCTTGTTTTTTGCTTTGCTTTGAGGTGTGGCAATAGATGTTTGTTTATACATTTTATTGTCTGGTATTGCAGGACTATTAAAAGGTGATCCTATTGTAACTTGCTGGGTTTATCCTTTGGCAGTTTTTCTTTTTCTGATTCATAGCTGCTTCTTAAACATTCTTTCCTTGAAAGGAGATGATATTTGTTGATTTCCTTCAAATCAGCTATGTATAACTTTATGTTAGATGAAAATTTTGGGTTTTACAATGAGCTTAATTTTTCAAATCAGCCTCTTGATTTCTTTGCTGCAGGCCTTAGAAAAGTATAGATATGAGCAATCCCTGGAGCACACAAGTCAGTTTATCGAGAAATTGGAAAAAGAGCTTGAAGATTATCTTGAACACCTTGTTCATTACAAAAAAGAAAAGGAGAATATGCCTCCGAGTACAACTATTGATACTTGATTGTTTGCTGAAATATTTTCCTGTAAGAAAACAAATATTGCTTGGCCCCCTAAATTACTTATCCACGTGATCCACATTTATCTCAATTTTCTCTTTCTCTGGGATTATGTTTTGGATTTGCTGATGGGAAATGATGATTCATGTATTTTTTGTGGTAGAGGTGTCAATCTTGTTAACTCTTCTTTGCTGCTACAAGTGATTCTACTCCTACCTGAAACATCCACTCCCCTATAAAGTCCCCATGTCCAAAAAGATCCCCTGCCTGTCTAGCATTTCCTTGACTCTTATAATGACAGATTTCCCTAAAAAATTTCCAATGTTGGGTGAAAAGATAGCCCAAAGAAGCCAAATGGTACCAATTGCTCTAATAATTGCAGCATAAAAAGAAAAAGCAGAGAGATGATAGCAAGAGAAGATTGAGTATTGAACAAACTGTAGCATATAAATCCCAGTGAATGGGTCTTCTTGGACCATTCTGCTGGTTCTTCATCTACCGCTGAAATTATGATGACTTTGGGGGTGCACCGGAATGATCTGAAGAAGTTGGTCTTTTACCTTCATTTTCATTCGATTCACAGTGATGGGATATTATCACCTACCAAGCTTGTTGAGAGAGCCCACCAAAATGGGGTAAGATTTCTCCGAATTCAATTTTTGTCTATCCTAGTAATTCTTATATGTTAAATTTGGGAATTTGTGAAAAGCCATGTTATGAAAATTGTTCTGTTTGTGTTTTGAAGAATCTGATATTGGAATTGTTTATAATTTATGATTGCGTTCAGAGGATCATGTTTTGCTCTATAAAAAGTTGAAGTCTTTACATAGTTTAACAAGAGACTAATGCCTTTCCTTTTGTTCGGTCTTTTTTAGTGTATGCAGGTGGTTCGTAAGCATATTTTAATCAGAGAGAAAACAGGGAGAGTTTACTGTGATTACCAGTTTCTGATTTTGGAATCCATCAATGGGGCAAAACTGATTGGAAAGTTATCAAAACACTCTGAGAAGCATACTGCACAGCTTAGATTTTGTGAAATTTCAGTGGTTTACATTTGGACCGCTAGCACTGTCCACTAGAGATGTCTGTTTGGAAACTGTCCCCTGTGCTCGTTTAGAATCATTTTCCAATGTTTGCAATTCAGCATCACTGATAATACGTGTTATTTACCTTGATGGACTTATATGCCATGAATACTTTTCTTTGTCCCCTCTCATGGATTTTATAGTTCAATCCTTTATAAGATCTTTGCTCCACTATTGTTCTTCTAATATTATTAGCATGAGATATGCTAGTAGTCTGCGCCTTTTTAAAGAGTACGATGTGGTTAGACTATTACAACTTATTAGTATGTATATCCTGAACAGGTGAAAGTAATTGCGTTGACAGATGATGATACAATGTCTGGTATACCTGAAGCCCAGGAAGCAGCTTTCAGATTTGGGATCAAGATTATTCCAAGAGTTGAAGTTAGCACAGTTTTCTGTCCAAGTTAAAGTCGTCTCTTTGGCTTAATTATATCTAGCATTAAAAAACAGTAGCTAAAACACATGTTTTAGGGGTCTGGTAGTTCTCCTATTAACTTTACTGGCTGTCTTGTGGCACAGTTTCATTGATTGTTAATGGATTGCTGATTTATTTATTTCCTGTTTGCACATTTTATTTTCTTTCTGATATTCAACATAAATAAACAGAGGAGAGACGGGATCAGAAGAACCAGTTCATGTTCTCGCATACTATAGCGTGTGTCGACCATCAAGGATAGAGGAATCAGTGAAGCTGATACTTGGTACAAGGAATGGGTGTTTCCTAAGTGCAAAGAGCATAGTTTCAAAATTAAACAAACTGAAGCTATCTCTCAAGTGGGAGCATATGACCAAGATAGCAGGCACAGGTGTTGCTCCTGAGAGGCTGCATGTTGCTTGTGCTTTGGTTGAAGCAGGCCATGTAGAGAACCTAAGACTGGCCTTTTCAAGATATCTTTATGATGGTGGACCTGCTTATTCTAGGTAATTAGTGTGATATAGTTAAATTTTGTGCGTTTCTTAAGTTGGTCAATATGACTTCTGTATAGATTGATTGAGAGTTCTTGTTCAGGGAAAGTGAACAAAATGCAGAGGAAGCAGTTGAACTGATATTTGAAGCAGGTGGTGTTGCAGTTCTGGCACATCCCTGGGCGCTAAAACCCCAAGTTGCCGTGATCAGAAGGCTAACAAAACCAGGCTTGCATGGAATAGACACCTGCAGAAGTGATGGAAAACTGGCAGGTACTTCATTCATACTCTGTTGCCTTCATTTACTTTCTTTTTCATCTATTGGATTTCCTAAACTTATTGCTCACATCTGCAACTTCTTCAAAGAAGATTTTCATTTTGAGTATAACAATACAACGTATTCACTTTAATCATCTTTTGGCGCATGTGGGCTTTGTAATGGTATCTTGTATCACCTTTTGTTGATAAAATAGTGTACTGCGATTGTGCTGATGCATATGGTCTTGTGAAGCTTGGAGGATCAGATTACCGGGGGAGAGGTGGACAGCATGAGTCTGATGTTTGTGTTGGGAGGGGGGGGGGGGAGTGTGAGCCTTCCCATGTCATCGGTGCGTGAGTTTCTTAAGGTCGCCATACCAATTTGGTTCAAAGGCTATTGTAGATAGTCTTGGAAAAATGTCAAAGATCCCAATGATGTAAATTTACATTTTATAATCAATTGTAGCTGCAATCACGCAACGTATTGACAATCTGCATGTAATGTATTGACAAGTTTAGCCACAATGACGCAATGTATTGACAAATCTGCACGGAAATGCGCTCTATCTCTCTCTCTCTCAAAAATCTGGGAGGGAGAATGTTGAGGTCAAATTTGGAATACTAAAACTAATGTGCTAATTGCCTTTGTAATTTGTTTGGATAGTTTATGGGTTTTTCTAATTGTTCCTTGTAACACACCTGGAATTTACCCAAGTTATTATGTGTGTGTATGTATTTATATATACTTACTCTAATAAATATTTCATTTCAAATTTGATGCTTGAAATATATATTAACAAGTATCTAATGGGCACTTATAAGATACTTTTATAGTTTATTATTGAGTAAATTTTTTATATACTGACAGTGTATACATTCGCGGGTCTAGATATATGTTACATATATAAAATTTGGTGTTTAAATTCAAATTCAGATGATGTGACATTCATTCAATCCCATTAGTTTATACACTAATAGTGTATAAGAAAGATTAATCATTTATTATTTGTATAATTTTATTTGTTTATATCATAAATGTATTTTTTAATCACCTTTTGATTTCATATATATCACATAAAAAAGTGTTATAATATTTTTTTTAAAAAAAAACTTATCCTAAATAATCCTTTTTTCCAAACACAAATGAATCAGAACAACATGCAACGTTATCCATCAATCTGGGATTGTCTATATTGAAGTGCATTCAGTCTAAAACAATCGCCAACTCTCAAATGAAATACCTCATATTTTGAATTAAATTATAACTTAACAGAATTCGTTTAAACTTAACAGAATTCGATAAACTTAACAGAATCCGGTAAATTTAATAGTCGAGACCGTCATTTTCGTTAAATTTAACGAATTTTATTAATTTGTAATTTAGTTTATAACATGAGATATCGTTTTTTATGTTTTGAAATCATGGGGGATTTTTCTGTGTATTAGATATATCACAGGGGTTTTTTTTATTTTTAACCCATTTTTTTAAAGATAAATCTCTAATCCACATCGTCCAAATAGATGCCTTCAGTGTAATAGTTTTCTAGACAGTTTTTTGTTATTAAAAGAAACTGTAGTCGTTTGGATTAATTGCACAAGACTTCCTGCACCAGAGTACTGGAGAAACCGATCTAACCTTAGTAGGAGAAAGGTCATAAAATGTAGGAGAAAACCCCAGCAAGTGTACGAGAATGACCCAACAGAAGGGCCATAATTATGATATGTATATATATAAAAAAAAAAATTGTGCACTGAAACAAGATGTCATGGAAGAAATTAAACAAAGCTTATAGGCGAACAAAATCCATAAATTATGCTTTTAATTTTATGACCGCATGGTTGTTTGAATTATTTGACATGCTTATTCACTTATATATATATATAGAGAGAGAGAGAGAGAGAAATGACGGAATTTAAGAAATAAGAAGGGGGAATAGGAGGTTTAAATCCAAAACTTCTAAATTCTGGAGTTTCAGAATCAATCTTTAGACGAAGACTTTCTTGGCATTATTTGACATTTTCTTAATCTTTGTCAACGGGAAACTTGGGCAAAGGTTAATTGATGACACATGTTGACCTTAAAAAAAAAGGAGTTGCACAATTCAACATGAAAAAAATATCAAGTAAAGATGAGCTTTTAATTTTTTCCAAATACATTTCTTTCAATAATATTTGTCCTTAATAATAATATTGATGTTCTTTAGAACAATAAACGATGAAAAATATGTAAGACTTGGAGAAGCACGTGCACATAAGGATAAAAATTGCACCAAGTCATTCAAAAAAGGGAAAAAAAATAATGTTGCGATAATAACAAATAATGAATATCCTCATTCGTAATATGCTTTTTATTTTGAGTGTTTTTTTATAAACATCTGAGCAAAATACCATTTATAATATTTCATAATTTTTGATCCTCTATACATCTTTGCAATTGCAACTTCAAGTTTAAAATTTTGGCAATCGTAGTATTGGTTTTTTAATTGACCATCTATAAATTATATATTGGTTTAATTCTATCCAATTACATGGTTCTAGTAAATTAATAAAAGAATCTGTTGAAATCTGTTTAGTGAAAGGGCTTATTAGCTGAGTTGTTTTTTTTTTTATCTCTGCATCAAGAAACTGGTTGAACTGAGTTTCCTCCAGATCTGTTTTACATCCAAATTCATAAAACGAATACAACTTCTGAAATATTCTTTTGATAGTCATTGTTATATTAATGAGTTGATAAGTAGTAATGCAAATAGCAGGGGATAGAGATTAGTGTCAAAGTTACTACTTTTATTTTAATTTTTATTTTTCACAAGGGAACACAGGATTTAAAAAGCAGGGAAGTGACAGAGGGATTAGAACCCAGGACCTCTAATTCCTAGATCTCGAGTCAAAGTTACTAACTAATACACTTTTATCGAAAACGACATAAGACACACACACACCCAACTAATTAAATTTGACTGAGGGTTAAAGCTAAGAGGACCTAAGAGGTAAACCTAAGGGGGACCCCAAAACCTTACCTATCCAGCCAATTGGTAATTGGAAGGCAAACCTGTGGACCTTAAGTCTAGGTTAAAGAACCCACATCCTAGCGATGTGGGACGGATGCCCATCCCCCCCCCCCCCCCCCCGAGCCATTAAATTCTAAATCCAATCTCTTGGCTGAGATCACTTGTGACCAAATGAAAGGAACATTTTTACTAGTCATTTCAACATTGCAACTTGTCCAGCAATACCTGTCTTTCTACATACACCATTAAATTCTAAATCCAATCTCTTGGCTGAGATCACTTGTGACCAAATGAAAGGAACATTTTTACTAGTCATTTCAACATTGCAACTTGTCCAGCAATACCTGTCTTTCTACATAGAAGCATTAACAAATCAAAGAATCATTTTCCACCCCGTAAACTAATCTACAAAAAATGAGAAAGTACGTATTGGAAAATTTTTTTTAGCATCTGCAGTAGAATGAAACTTAAAATTATGGAAGATGCTAGAAAAGGTCCATGCAAAGAAGCAAAATCCAATTTGGATGGTAATTCACAAAAGTCCAAAGTCAAGATGTCCATCATGTCTTTTTTTTTTTTTTTTATTACTTGTCATCATCTACATCTACACTTACTCCTAATCCTAATCTAACCTATACTAGGGAATGAACGACGGGACTAAACTACCATCGAACCATACGAGTGCACAGCATTCATATGGATCTTAAGCAAAGCTACATTAAGTGGCACTTTTTTGATGGGAGGCCAAGGGTTCACCCACACTAAAGGTGGTGGCCAACTCCACTAAAGGGGGTTGGTTATTTGTCCATCATATCATTATCATATTTCTTGCCAAAATTCAAATTGATGACTTGTTCTTTTACAAGTTTATATATACCAGGGTCTATATACTTATTGCAACTTCCAAATTTCTCAAGTCTTCAGCTCTAAAATGGAAGAAACTGGTGGGGTAAAGC